CAGCTTAGAAGCATATACGTATAAAGATACACAACATATCCCTCCAAACTGCCAATATCCTAAACCCCTCCTTTAAAGTGCAGGCATTGTACTTCCCATTTCCAGGACTCAAGTCCGACTATATGAACATAACCGGTTTCCCTGAATCCCTTCACTAAATATTACCCTGCTCACACTCCAACAGATCGTCAGGTCCCAAGTATCATTCGCCTCCATTCACTCCTATCTAACACGCTCATGCACGCTTGCTGGAAGTCCAAGCCCCTAGCCCACAAAACCTCCTTTACCCCCTCTTTCCAACCCTTTCGGGGACGCCCCCTACCCCTCCTTCCTTCCCCTAAGATTTATATGCTTTCCATGTCATTCTACTTTATCCATTCTCTCTAAATGACCAAACCACCTCAAAAACCCCCTCTTCTGCCCTCTGACTAATGCTTTTATTAACTCCACACCTTCTCCTAATTTCCACACCCCGAATTTCTGCATATTATTTACACCACACTTTGGGCCCTTAGACAGGACATCTCCACTGCCCCAACCGTCTTCTCGCTGCTGCATTTACCACCCAAGCTTCACATCCAAAAAAGAGTTTTTGGTACTACTATACTTTCATACATTCCCTTCTTTGCCTCCATAATAACATTTTTTGACTCCACACATATACCTCAACGAAACCACTCACCTTTTTTCCCTCATCAAATTCTATGATTAACCTCATCCTTCATAAATCCATCTGCCGACACGTCAACTCCCAAGAAACTGAAAACATTCACTTCTTCCATACTCCTCCTCCCAATTTGATATCCAATTTTTCTTATCTAAGTCATTTGATACCCTCATCACCTTACTCTTTTCTATGTTCACTTTCAACTTTCTACCTTTACACACATTCTCAAACTCATCCACTAACCTTTGCAATTTTTCTTTAGAATCTCCCATAAGCACAGTATCATCAGCAAAAAGTAACTGTGTCAATTCCCATTTTAAATTTGATTCCCCATAATTTAATCCCACCCCTCTCCCAAACACCCTAGCATTTACATCTTTTACAACCCCATCTATAAATATATTAAACAACCATACATGTACAAGCATATATATACACACCCCTCTGGGTTTTCTTCTATTTTCTTTCTAGTTCTTATTCTTGTTTATTTCCTCTTATCTCCATGGGGAAGTGGAACACAATTTTTCCTCTGTAAGCCATGCGTGTTGTAAGAGGTGACTAAAATGCCGGGAGCAAGGGGCTAGTAATCCCTTCTCCTATATAGATTACTAAATTTAAGAAGAGAAACTTTTTTTTTTTTGGGGGGGGGGCCACCCTGCATCGGTGGGATACGGCCGGTTTGTTGGAAAAAAAAAAAAAACATTGCATGTAAACATTGCTACACTTCCTGCCTTGCTAATACACTCCATGCATGCCTGCTACATGCCCTGCATGCCTGCTACACTCCCTGCCTTCCTGCACACTCCCTGCATGCCTGCTACACTCCTTGCCTCTATTTCCCGCCGCCTTGAATTCTATCATGTTTCTAACTTTCTTTACCAAAGGAACTTTACTAGGAACTTTCTTTGGGGCCATGGATACTTATTTTGCAGTTACACTTAATCAGTAACTGCCAGAAACAATGGATTATAGCAAAATGTTTGGATGAATTTGCAGAAGCTTCCTCACTCACCCGAAGACACAGCCACACTGACTCAGGAACGTGCGAGCAGCTGGCGATGGACACCTCCAATACAGCCGATAAGCGAAATAACAGCCGATAACCAGAAGCCGAAAAAACGGCCAACAACCGAGTTGGCTGATAAGTGAAACGGCTGATAACCGAGGGTCCACTGCAGTTGCCATTGTCTAACCATATTATTTACATAGATACCAATGAGTCCATATCTGCAATTACAGCATAAAAACTAATGGAAATTAAAGAAAATAGTAAACAAATATAAATACTGTGCATAACTCAAATGGCACATTTTAGGAAAACAGGTTGTGGTTGTATATTTTCTAAATATATTGCAATATTAGGCATCTTGTATTTGCAGTCTAAATATTTTAAGAGGTCAAAGCTTTTGATTAAAAAAAAATACAAAAAATTTATTCCAACCAATTGACTTTTAAGAGTATGTGGAGACTTGATTATTATACTTACATGTTAATTTTCAAATAATGTTTGGGTTACCAATTTTGTTTGTTTTTATAAGTTTTGTAACTTTTACAAATATCTTTAGTCTGTTTTTGTGTAAATTGAAGACTAATTTAGATGATTGAAGAAGTAAAATCTTGAACGATCAAGGTTTTCACTAGGGGGGTAAACCGTCAAAATTTAGGGAGAATGTAAAACTGAGCTTGAAAGATTAAATTGTCAGAAACATTTCAGGGATGGGTTCAGATGCCCTGAGTGAGATAAGTGATGAAGACAGCTTATCATCCACCAGTGATCTTCATCTTAGTCTCTTGGATGATTCAACAGATGAGTCTCCAGCTCGCCGTAAGACCCCGGACCCAAGGTATGGAAGAGAAGAGATAGATGTATATTATGACCATATGATTTTCTGAGCTGAGGTGGCAGCATAATTCTGGCAGGAAAGTGATTGAATGAATAACAGTGAATGTGTTTCCCTTTTATTGGGGTCATACTACTATGGCAGGAGATGGCCGGTGTTTTAAAGAAAATATAAAAAATGCTCCAAATAAATATGCACTACACAAATATGGCAGATGTTGCAAATGTATGGAATAGGAACTAGGTTAATAAAAGCATTTAAGAGCTTTTAGGGTATGCAGGGAAAGGGAGATTATTTTCAAGTGAAAGTAGGACTTAGAGAGTGATGTGTTATGCCACCATGGTTGTTTAAAATATATATAGATGGAGTTGTGAAAAAAGTAAATGCTGGTTTTGGGAAGGGGTGTGGGATTGAGGGATGTTGGATCTGATGCAAAGTGGGAGTTATCCTGGGTGCTCTTTGCTGATCACATACTGTAGTTTGTTCAGGGATTTTCTGAAGGCAAATTACAAAGGTTGCTGGATGAATTTGAGAGGGTATGTAAGAGAAGGAAATCAAAAGGAACACAGAGAAGAACAAGGTGATGAGCTTAATACAAAATCTGTATGATGATAGAATGAATATCAGAGTGGAGGGAGGGAATGTGGGAGTGGACATCTCAACAGATGGGTTAGTGAAAGATGAGGATGAACTATAGAAGAGGTGAGTGGCAAAAGGAGGATGGTGTTGAGGTATCTGTGGAAAGAAATTTTATCTATGGAGGAAAAAAAAAAAAGGAATGCACTAGAATATAGTGGTACCCAAAACTTTTTTTATGGGTGTGAGGCATGGGTTTTGAATGCTAAAAGTGAAAAGGAAGCTAGAGCAGTAAAAAAAACATTTTTGAGAGCAGTCTGTGGTGTAACATCAAGCAGAGAATTTAGAGCGTAGAAATTATTAGGCAATGTGGAATGGCCAAGAGTATAATCCAGAGGGCTGAGTTGTTGAGGTGGTTTGGGAATGTAGAGAGGATGGAGAGGGATTAACACATCAGCCATTTTCCACCAAGGCATGCCTACACTCCAGCTAAAAAACTGCAACATAACAACACCTCTCCTTCAGACTGCAGGTACTGTACTTCCCATGTTCAGGACTCAAGTCTGGCTAACCAGTTTCCCTGAATCTCTTTATAAATGTTACTTTGCTCACACACTAACAGCAGATCAAGTCATAAAAACCATTTGTCTCCACTCCTATCAAACACGTTCACACACACTTGCTGGAAGTCCAAGCCCCTTCCACACTAAACCTCCTTTACCTTCTCCCTCCAACCTTTCCTAGGACAACCCCTACCCCACCTTCCTTCCACCACTGATTTATATGCCCTCCAAGTCATTGTTTTGTTTCATCCTCTCTCATTGTCCTAACCATCTCAACAACCCTTCTTCTGCCCTCTAGATAACATTCTTAAAAACCCTGCACCTCCTTCTAATCTCCAGGCTATGGATTATCTGCATTATATTCACAAACCCCACATTGCCCTCAGATATGACATCTCCACTGCCTCCAGCCTTCTCCTTGTTGCAACATTCATCACCCATTTAGATAGCTATATTTAGCAAATTCTTGCTATTAACCCGTAAACGGTCCAAGCAATCTACGTTCACTGGTTGCTACAAAAG